TATGGGAAACTTTACCTCGACTTGAGACCAACTCGAGTTGCAACCAGAGTCACGGAATGGACTAAGTTCGTAACTAGAGGTACCACTGTATAGTGATCATGAAAAAATGATAATATTGAATTAACGCAGAAAAGATCTCATTACTGACCTGCCTTCTTCCTCATGCAAGATGTTATTCTGAGCACTGGTAACCAAGGAGTATCCCAACATAGCAGAACCCACAACACAAGCAGCTGAATGTAGATCTGATATACTCTTCCACACAATGTTATCTGGAAAAGGTGGCAAGTTGTTTGTACAAATTACAATCGAATTTGCACACTGAGTTCATTTTTTTCTTGGATAATCTCTTCAAAAGCCTTCAAACAACAATTGTAGAGAACAAATTATTTAGATTTAGGATTTACTGCATATAGTAGAATCATCAAACAAGAGGAGGCATTTTTCATGCATGTATAAATATCTAAAACAGCTGAATTTAGAGAATTAAGAATGTAGGAGATACTGACATAGAAAAGAGAAAGAGCAGCTAACAGGCCACATTAGATACAGATATAACATAAGAATGTTAAATAAATAATTATGGTATGAAATCTTAGGGAAATTAATCATATGGTAGACTTCTTCATTCCAAAAAGAGAGTAAGAAGAGCAGAAGATTTTAACTGACTTTGAATATGTTGGATAAAACATCTAAACATAACAAAAATATATGCAAAAATTTGTACAGTATACAACTACTTCAATGGAATAGAGAGGCAAAATAACACATGGGTTTATACAAGATAGATATCAAGTTAAATGTGAAAGAAACATAACGCCAGGCATATCTAAGGATACTTAAAATGTTACCTTCACATGCTGCCTTTTCAACCAAAGAACTGAAGTATACTATATTCTCACCTCTGCTTTTATCCTCACAACAACCCATCAAGTAGATTAAGCTGAAAGCCAGTGGTGATTTACACCAGGCTCTCCCTCTCTATGTCCAACTATACAGTTTCAAATATCACAATTGTGAGAATTTTTTTTTTAGAAAAGGAAGAGGATTGGGTTAAAAATAATTATAACTATCAACTACCTTCCAAAGAGCATCCACCAAAAAATAGAAGAGTGCGATACCCTTAAATGACTTTATGATTTCACCGTTCAGCATATTGCCTAGTAGCACTTTACAATCATATATAAATTCATGGTTTAAGAATGTAGTTAAGAACGTTCAGTTAGCTGGATGAGGCACAAAATCTTATTTCTAAATTATCAAAAAACAAAGAAGAGATGCATAGCCAAACTATCAGTAATTGGAAGAGGGATCTATTTTGGTTAATAATACTATACCTGTGATTGATGGATTAAGGCTGACAGCCAGTGAAAGACTTGCTGGCACAGAGTATACAACCTAAGAGTGAGATATATTAAATACATTTTGTAAAAAATGTAGGAAGGAACAAGGAAAATAAAAGTGTACCATCCCAGTGACTAGAAAAATAAAAAAGTCCCAAAATCATACTTCCAGGAGAGAGAGGAAAGCTGTGAAGTTTATCATCTAAGGAAAAAAGACCTTAGAAGGGCAAAAAAGCTCCATTGCGCCCAGTAGGCTTTTTGGACCATTGATGCTTCACAAAAGGAATGGAACTGCCAAAGAAACTACCCACCATGAAAGCAAGCAGACCTACCAAGTTGAAGGAGATGATAACAGGTGAAATTATTTCTTATGAATGTTCTGTCTGCTTGGGGAAACAGTCTATGTGGGGAAGTAAACTACAGGAGAGCTGTAATTTAGATGTTCAGTTTTGCTATTGGTAATTCAAATTCACTTCATGGGATTGAGAGCTTTCCACCATTAGAAGCAGATATTTCAGCTGTGAACCCTCAAGGAAGCTCCAAATTAGATTGTTATACAAAGGGTTAGCTCCGACAACTGTGCATCAATGGCAGCTAAAGTACAGTTATGGTTCCTATGTGCAAGTACACAATAGGACCATATTTCACTCATGTAGGCACAGCAGCCTTTGATAGTAAATAAAATCTACTTACTAGTGGTACATGCTTAATTTTAAACTTCAGTAGAGTAATTGAAAAACCACCTTCTGCAATTTAAGTTCGCTTGCACACTGACATCATCTCTGGAGTTCCTCTTCCAGATGTCATCAGAACTGAAACAAGTGCTAATGGGGAAAAGAGCTTCCTCAGGTACAGGGCTCTCCCTTTAGAAGTCCTCTCTCCAAGGAAGCTCTGTTGATATGATGCTGAACCTGCTATCATTCCACCACAAAACACTGTCTTCCCATTTTTTCTAGATCTTTTAAGTGCTGTTTTTAATTGCTTTTAGATCCAGTTTTGTATTTATTCTATATGCAGCAGGTGGCAGCATCTAACCAATCATGGCTGATCTCAGGGGAAACCTCAGTCTAGTGTGATAAGCACCTGGATGGAGGACCACCTGGGAATTCTAAAGCTGAGGGCTTGGCTGGGACTTCAAAGCAACCTTCTGGAAGAAGCACACATCCATAACTCTTCTGTGAAATGGATGCAATTATCAGGAATCAAGCATGATATGAAGGTGCCTTGTTTTATTTGTAAACTACCCTAAAAATGTTTATATAAGAGTGTAGCAAAAAAAATCTAAAAATCAAATAAATATGAAAATATAGCAACACATTAGATCATAATGTTAACAAGTCAAGGGGCAAAACCAAAGGCTAGAAGCCAGATCAGGGTTTCAGGGTATTGACTAATGTTGAGATGCCAGGCAAATTTTTCTGTAGTATCAAGATCTCTAGCATACCATAGCCACTGAGGGTATACTCACTATCCAAAGTCCTGGATCAGGATCATTGATCTGTAACAAAGAAGGCAAAAATCATTGCTACAGGCTCTGATACTAAATGGTACATAAAAACAAAATCCTTCAAGGTGAACAATAAGTCATACACATGTCCAAGACAAATTATTTCTGAAATTACATTATCTTGTAAAAACATGCTAATGATATGGGAAGTTACAAAGAAAAGCCTGTGAAATTTGACTAATTAGGAGTATTGGTAATAATAATAAAAATTGAGCACAGATGCATGCAAAACAATCAACATAATGTCACACAAACCATTGTCTGCTTTCCTTGCTCAGCCCTTGAAAGACTTACTAGGGATCTTTTCTCACTGATAAGGATCATGAACAAATGCTATTTCTTGCAAACAACATGAGTGGAAAGAAACTGCAAAGTGCTGAGAGTGGGGTCCTCTTCTGTTGTGTACCTCAAAGTAGAGTCAAATTGTCCACATCCTACTGCCACTGTGCAAACCTGACTAACTGCAAACCCACTGGTGGCTCCCATCCTAATCTGTGGTAAACATTTTAAGAAGCAACATCAAGTCACCTTCAGGTTGTGCTTGAAACTTGGGGACCACAAGGTCCCTTCCATATAGTTTCTTGGCAAGAATACACAGCAAATACTTTTCTTGTCATTTCACATGCCAAATTGTGGGTAGCTGTCTAGGGATAAAATAGCAGAATGGTAGCAGAAGAGGCTGACTTGAGACAGAAAAGGGTCTGCCCGCTCCTCCATTACATCTCCACTGGTCACTTGATTCCATCACCAAGGTAATGAGGGGGAAGCATAGCAGCTTTTACACATCTTGAGGTTGTGTGGAGTGTTGGAATAAGGAGGAAAATGCTGCTTTAGTGCCAGTCCAGGCTTGCTCATGACTGGGGAGGAAATGAAGGCAACTCTGCAAATAAGGCAGAAAAAATGGTGTTGTCAGCTGGGTAAATGGGGAGAGGCTCTTAGACAGTACTGTCTAAGTAACACTGTCACCTACCTGAGCCGCGAAGCGGAAGGAGTATAGACTAAAACATAGAAAAATACTGCAGAACAGACCATGGCAAACCACTTCCGTATTGTTGCCAAGAAAACTGCAAGGGCGTGTGAGGCCTCCACATAGTCACCAGGAGTCGGACTATACTCCAGGGAGTCCTTACTGTTTACGCTTTTCAAGTTGCTTCTCCTGCTAAGCCCTTCCCTGAATTTATTCAAGTTTATGCTCCCGCCTCCTCCTACCGCTCTAGCTAGAGCTGGTAGAGCACTGTGCGCGGGGGGAGGGGAGCGGGTTGTCTTTTCTTGTGACCGCCTTGCTCGAGCCTTTCCCCAATTCGGGAGCCTTCCAGGTTCTGCCTCCACCACTGCCTTCTGCCTTGCGCTACTCTGGGGACTAGCCTGCCCCGGCCCCCGCGTATCCTTTGTCCCTCTCAGCACAAGCACTCAGCGACCCCAGCCAGACCTGAACAGCTCCAGCCAGCCCGAAGAAGACGGCCATGATCACGTTGCTGAGCCTCCAGAGCCGGCTGGCTCCCGGGACAGCAGGCGAAGTAGAACAGCCGGCCTCCATCGCCCGCCTCCTTCTCTCCCGCCCGGAATTACGGCTTGCCTTCCCAGCCCGCCCCGCCGGGCATACGCGGCCCCAGGCGTAACCTTCTTTCAAAGCCCACCCATTCTTCCCATGCCGCCGAGCGAGCGCCCTGGACGTCCCACCGAAGGAGCCGGGGACCCGCCTCTCTCAGCGAACCCAGCCGGGACGCGAGAAGGGGGCAGATCATGCACATAGCACTGGAGCCCTAACAGCCTGGCTGCTGATACGTAGCTAATTTGGAGATGCGGCTTTGTATCTTCTGTTTGTAAATAAACAGGCCTTGATAGCTGGTGGAAGGAAGGAAGGCAGGCCTAGGAAGGCCTACTGTTTCGAAGCTGACCTGATCGCCTCTTTCGGTTCAAGTGGGCACAACTCCGACCTTCGTTGCCAAGATCGGAGAGTAGCTGCCTACGTCTTCTTTGAAATCATTCAAATAGCACCAAATAAAGCTGACAACAAAATCGTAAGGAAAGATGTATGAGGAAACATTACATGACTGGAACATCTTTTTGATTTATTGCATAAGTATTTTACTTCAGTTATTTATATCGCAATGAGTTATTTATTTTCATTACGATTTCTGCAGTCCTGGCAACTGGCACATTGGTTCTTGGAGGCAAATTACTAATATATAGTAATGTGAGTTTTGATCCAACATAAAATTAAAGTTGCTTACTATAATTTTCTACTTCTACTTTTATTTTTAAATTCTTGCTTTGGGATTTCAACCAAATCCACTAGAAACAGATGCTGTGGTCCCAAACTCAGAGAAATCCTTTCTTACTTATTTTTTAAAATGTATATTTATTATTTGTCATATTTATATAGCCACCCAAAGTTATTTGATTATGAGATGGGCAGCTATATAAATATGGCAAATCAAATGTATATACTGATTTCCCCAGCATAGCGCCTCCCAATGTGCTAGGTAGGAATTCAAGGAGTAGTGAATGGTTAAAGACAACTGATACATCATGTATTTATTATATTTAATTAACCAACCTCTCCTTATATAACATGAACTTAAATCTCTACTCCTGCACCCATCCCATGCTTAACAATGAGCCAATGAACTTGATTTTTATTATGCATTTTGTGGTAAGATGATGTTTTGCACCAAAGGCCCCAATTCAATTGCCAATTAAACATGTACTGTATGTTGTGGAGTTTGGACAAACACCAACAATAAGCTAATTGCACTTTTTGAGACACAGTATATGCCAACATCTTATTTTCTGTGCCTGTTCATCTACTGTGCTGACAACATTCAGGAAACTTATCTTGATTTTGTATTAAATAGCAGAATAATAATAATAATAATAATAATAATAATAGCAGAATAATAATAATCTGCTGT